CATTATACAATTCTCACATAACAGGCCCCTACTTTAGCACCCGGTACGCCCACCAAAGGACTTGTCGCCCCATGCCACCACAAACAATGAGGTAAAACAAGCTGCTTATATAGGTTAGGAAGGGAGAGGAATGCTGATTATCAGAGTGTGTTCAGGTGTGGTGAGTTGGCAGGAGAGGGGGCGTGTCCAGAGGGTAATTAGGGAATTGGTGAGGTGGCATAATCCTTCAGAACAGTGCCTACTGCATAGGGGTTGACCCTAATAAATAAATAAATAAAAATATATATATAACACTTAAATATTGGCTTGAATTCACCTTTAACCACAACAACCACACAAAATGTAGCATATGGGCAATTCCATGGGAACGGAGACTCTGATTTTTCATAATATCTATACCAAACAAAAGCCATTGATTTCAAAGTTTAACAAACCATAGAACTCTATGCACAAGGACTACTTAACAATATCCACAGAATTTTACAAAAACACATTTACAGGAAGAACTGTGCAGATAAAATGTTGTAACAGAATAAAACTGAAGGAAATTTGACTGTAAATGTAGATTATTATTTTTTACTGTGTAAATTGTTAAACGTAGTCATTGTGCAAAGAGTTGTATGGTTTGTTAAACTTTGAAATCAATGTTTTTTGTTTGGCACACATTTGAAAGTGAATAATCTGAGTCTCAGTGTAATTCTGTTACCATGGAATTACTCAGATGAATTAGTGCTCTGTGAGAACTCACTTGAATATAATTATTTTATACTTGGAGAAGTTTTGTCTTTGAAAAGGGTCTGAAGCAATCTCTCAGAATGAGGAACAAGTGAATGGTAAATTAGCCTTACATGATGACAGTTGTTGGATATCTATCTGGCTGCTTGCTGGAGTATGTGTGTTCGTGTGTGTGTCAGGCGTGAAATAATGGGAGAGGTTTCACAGGCCTAGATGAAACTGACTGTGGGACCTCAAGCCCATCAGGCCCAGAGAAGCACTGCAGCGGAAAGTTATTCTTAATGTATTATAATCGGTAATCTGCTTAATCCAAATTAGGGCCTAACTAAGAGGCCCAGCATAGGAGACGTGCTAGACAGAGAGAGCTGAGTCATGTGCTATTGCTGACACCAATCTAAATCAAGAGTAAGAGGGTATTGTCCGGTCAGCCACTGTTGGCGCCACTGTTTGTATTCTTGACAAAAATTGTACACTTCAAACAAGAACATGGCCCAGGGCTGAAATATTTTAATTTCCACTCAGTGTACAAATAAAGTGATGCCTGACTGAGTAAAACAATCTCTGTTCAGATGGTTATTGGACAGCATTTTCTTCCTTCTAATGTTATTTGGCAACGTAATTATTCTCATGGCCAGTTTTTACCACTATATTGTCTTTCTGCTATTGTGGTTTCCTGAAACAAATAGAGCCAACTATGTTTGCATCGATTCTTAGTCCCCTTTCTCATCTCCTTTCCTACCACAGACTACCATATCCTGTTTTAAAGGCACCTAAATATTTTATCTTGCCCATTAACCTTTAGAATGGCACACATACAATCCGTTTCTCAAGGCTTGAAAATCTTTCTTTAACCCGTCTCCTCCCCTTCATCTACACTGACCACGTTTACATTCACACCAATATCCCGTTATTATTCGGGATACTGAAGTATTCTGTTTTTGAGTTGACACATGTAAACATCATATCCCATTTACAATAACCCGAAAAGGCTTGTATCCCGGTTATGAGAAACCCGGATAAGATGCCTGGGAAATGATGAGCTAAGACTGGATACTGTGGCATGTAAACATCTTATCCCGTTTACTGTTGTTTTTGCAGTCTGCACAGGCTCAGTTTCGCATATCATGGGTGATTGTTTTCCTCTGATTGTCAAACAAATTACTTCAAAAAGTAGGCTACCTGGCGCAGTTCGATCCACCATAATAACTTAGCCTACTATAATTAATTTACTACTAGATACCCCTAATTTAGACAAGTTTCTGCTTATAATTTCCGACATTTGGTAGCCATTTGTTTGTCAACTATAGTTTGATACATGCAGCTTCTCTTCTGTCATAACTTGTTGCCCCAGAAATCTAAATAAAGTAGTCCTCACCAGAATGTCTTACATCAATAGAATGAATGCATTAGTAATCTAGTTAACACTGGTAAAATTGTCTGTTTCGTTTAGGGACCGAGTAGAAAACGCAATAATTCCAAAACAGTGGAAAGACTGGTCCTGTGCAAAATGTCCAAATGACATCAGTGTGACTGGTTTTAAGGAAATGAAAGCTGAGAAAAAGACCAAACAGGTTTCTGATAAGACTTCAGTTCGTCTTGGGTGCATATTTTATGTGGTTGAAATACTAAATACTTGCATAACAGTGTCAAAGATGACACATTACATAACGTTAATGTTTTCTCAAGAGAAGCTAAAAGAAAGAAATCCTATTCCTCCACTCCTGTTCCCAAGACAAAATTAACGTTTTGTTGTATAATTTAACTGCAAGAAATGTATAATTCTGCAGGAGTTCATATTGTATTATATAAACATGTGAGAGGTTTATAGGCCGACAGTCAGTGTCCATATTTCAGTCACTATTCTATTTCCTATTTAACCCATATACTTAAATTAGGAATATTCTGTTTATTCATGGTTACAGGGATACTCATGAGTGGGATATCAAAGGTGCATGTAAACTGCTTATCCCGAAATAAGACCTTAAGCGGGATATGAGCTACTATCCGGAATACTGTGCGGCAAGTAAACATGGTCACTGATTTGAAGTGGATTTAACAAGGACAAGGACAGGGCGGCAGGTAGCTTAGTGGGTAAGAGCGTTGTGCCAGTAACCGAAAGGTCGCTGGTTCTAATCCCAGAGCTGACTAGGTGAAAAATCTGTCGATGTGCCCTTGAGCAAGGCACTTAACCCTAATTGCTCCTGTAAGTCGCTCTGGATAAGAGCGTCTGCTAAATGACTAAAAATAAAATAAAATAAATAATTAAGGGATAATAGCTTTCACCTGGTCAGTCTGTCATGGAAAGAGCAGAGCTGTGTTCGAATACTCATACTAACCGCACTAACCCTACTATTTGAGTATGTAGTATGCTTATTGGTCGTAGTGTGGATATAGTTCGTATGCCAAAAGTTCCCGGATGTCGTACTACATTCGCCAAAATACGACGTATACAAGCAGTGGACAATATTTCTGTGCTTTTAGGGCCAATAATGCAATTCTTCAGAAAATGGGCGTGGCTTCACAACGTTTTCAGATTTGAAGAAATGAACATTATGACAAATGTTATGAAAATGTTCAGCAATGTAATAAAGTAATTACTTTTCAAATAAATAACCTAACATGTTATGTTGGCTGACAATTTGTTAGCTACGCTATCGTTAAGAATCGCATAGCATATCATTACAGCAGTATGTACCGCCGCTATGTTAGCTAGCAACCTAACGTTAGTTGGCTACTAATACATCGAACTTGCCAGTATATTAACTATATGCTATCTTACTAACTACCCAATGTTTATTGACTTTTATTTATTCCCGTCATTCTTAGCTTAGCGGTATAGTCGTGTGTTCTCAATGGACATTCGGGTGCGTTCATAAATTCGCTCTGGCTATCTACTCAGATTTCAGAGCACTGTTGTCTGAGAATACCAGAGTGCAGAATAACTGATGAATTTACGAATGCGCAACAGCTGTTGAATATGGCCAGTTTCAGTAAACGTTGGCAAAAAAAGCGTAATTAAATTGTTGCCAGCAGCACAGTTACAGTCACCAACGCTCTGGATAACATGAAAACAGCCTAACCAACTCTGCTAGGGCCAGTAAAATGGTCAGAGTGAGGTGTTCTCTCATTTCTGTCTGGAAGTAGCTAGCGAGTTAGCCAGTTAGCTTGGGTGCTTGACTGCTGTTGTGAGGTCAGAACGCTTGGATCAACCCTACTCCTCGGCCAGAGCGTTCAGTGTACGCTCTGAGAGCGAAACACTCGGAATTTTCAAACGGACAATCTGACAACGCTCTGAATTTACGAACGCCCAGCGCGCACTTTGGCACTCCAGATTGAATTTAAGAACACACCCGAAGTTGTAAAATGTCTAGCTAGTAATTTGTTATGCTAACAAGCGGTTGCATAGCAACAGCATAAACTTCAGGTAGACAGGCGAAGTGCTAGTACGCTCAACTAAAATAATACCGTTCGTTTACAGTATACAGTGTGTATGTAGTATATACTCATTAAGTATGTAATATACAGTATGTAGTATGGGTATTTGTACACAGCTCAAGTGTTTCTAATGTTTTGTACACTGTGTATGTCCAGAATCCTGTCTAAGTGCTAGGGGACATGCGTAGGCTTTACCTTGCTTGACGATGGCATATTGCTGTGTCTTTGGCCTGCCAGGAGAAGAGCCGTTTCCCCTTTCACCTCTCAGTAGGCAGCTGCAGCATTGGGATGACATTTACACGTGGGTGTATTTTTGCCCCTTGCAAAGCCCTCTATTGAGTTTAGAGTGTCATGTCACCCACGAGGAGCATTGAGGAAGGGGAGAGAATTGACCATGGAGAGGATCAATCAATCAGGATGTCCATTTTGTGTCCTTCATCTAGCTAATATACACACTATGGACATGATAAACTGATAAATTCAGTGCGTATTGTTTCTCTTAAGTACATTATCTGTGTGCGCTACCAACTTTAGTAGCTAGTGTGTGTGTGTAAAGAAAGTATTAGACTGTGGGCTGGGACAGTGTAGTCACAGAGATGATAGGACGACGGGTGAGGGAAGACACAGAGGCGTCCTCTGTACATGCTAATCTACCCCTCCTTACACACACACACACACACACACATGCGTATTCACTCTGCACAGGGCTGTCTCCCTCTGACTGCAGATAACCTCCAGGAGTTGTCATATTTCTTACCAATAAATGTATGCAGTGTGGAAAAGGCATTAGCATTTCTGCTGTAGTATATCAAACCCATAAAGTATTGAGGATGTGTCAGCAGCAGCGCCAGCGTCCTCTTATCAGGGAGGCACTGGGCACGAGGTGGAATGTGTTCTGGCACGACAGGTATTCGTATCAGGCTGATCTGGGATGTCTTGAAGCGCCCGAGCTGTTAATCTTGTATATCACGTTACCCCATTTCCCTTTCACTGGGCTGCCCTGGCATGGATGGGGCTGTGCCAGTGTCTGACTGGCCTTGAAGTTTGGAATTGAACTAGTCTGTGTGAGAGAATCAACTTTTTTAAATCTAAAATATGTGGCAACAAAGAAGAGCTATAGGACATTTAGGCATGAACTGATCAGCTATTTTGCTATGCATTATTTGCAGCTATGAAGCATTTGTTAAATGCCTCATGTTGACAGTTGGCTTATTATGTGCATGATACTCATGACTTATTCTTGCTCTGTCTCTCTTCAGAATGGCGCTGGACATCTATGACTCTCAGTACCTGGTGATCCTGGCCCCCTCCCTGGTTATCGCCCTCATCTTCCTCTTCTTCTGGCTCTTCATGAAGGAGACCTCTTATGACGAGGTGCTAGCCAGGCAGAAACGAGATCTCAAGCTGCCACCCTCCAAACCAGACACCCGCAAGAAGAACGACAAGAAAAAGAGCAAGAAGAAGGAGAGCAGTAGCGGAGGAGGTGGCGGAGGAGGGGGAGGAGGAGAGTCTGAGGAAGACCTGCGGGACTTCGACGTGGCTGACGCAGTGAGCAGCTCCACCGCTGAGGAGGAGGAGCCTACCCCTGTGGCGCCACCCACCCCGGTTCCTGCCCCTGTGGCAACGCCAGCCGAGGCCCCTGCAGGGTTGAGGGAGAGGAAGAAGAAGGAGAAGAAAGCCGCCAAAGCTGCAGCCGCTCCCCCTGCCGAGGAACCTGAGGTGAACGGCACCAAGCAAGCTGGCCGCAAAGCAGAGTCCCCTGCCCCAATGGCTAAACCCAGTCCCCCCTCACCCCAGCCTGACCCCCAGCCTCAGCCCCCATGCCAGGCCCAGACCCCATCCCAGCCCTCTGGCAAGAAGAAGAAGGAGAAGAAGCAGAAGACAGAGTCTGGTGAGTAGAAGGCCAGAGTGGCTTTAGTAGGATGAGGATGTGTGGTGCCTGGTGTGCTTGCCTGTGTCTGCAAACGGGGCTAGTGTCTTCCCTGAGGCCACTCATCAGTGTCTGAGTGCTCATCTATTCTCCCGAATCAAATCTGATTATTTAAAGCACAGTATGAGTAGGGAGCGGGAGGGAGTTTGTTACAATGGCCATTAACCTCAAAATACCTTCTACACAAATGTATCTATCAAAAGGCCATCATAATGGCATATTTTTTCCTCGTATCTCTAAAACCTAATTGTCCTCTTGTTCGTTCCTGTCTAGTGGAGGAAGAGATGAAGGTGGAGAAGGCTCCAGCTCCAGTCAAAAAGGAGGCTCCGGTGCCGATGGAAACCAAAGCCCAAGATAGTGCTGCCCCCCTAGCCACCACCACAACCAGTGGCAAGAAAAAGAACTCTGCCAAGAAGCAGAAGACTGAGCATGGTAAGGATGATGAATACTTACTGATACTGCAGTGTAATCAGAGTCAGAGCAGGTTCAGAGACATTGTTTGAAGCTGCTAGCAGAAAGCAGAAGAAATCTAAATCTGCCTTTTTTGAAAATGAAATCCTTGGGCCAACTGTATCTCGATTTTTGTGTCTTGTCTGGTACCAGATATGACCATGTGCTTCTGTCTCCCCCATCCCTAGTGGATGATGTCCAGGCTGACTCTGCGGCTTCTGCCAACCACAATGATGATGCGCCCTCCAAGGGGAGTGGCAAGAAACAGAAGAACGAGGCCAACAAAGGTGCGAAACCTACACTCCAACATATAGCTACTATACCATGTTTAAACCTCACATATGAACAGTGACATTTTGTAAATGTATTTACACTGCACTATTCTATTCCACACTCAGCTACCATACAACACATAATATAATTAATCCTCTACCTGTATGTGTGTATTTGCAGAGAACTCTGAGTTGAAGCTGAAGGAGCTGCTGGTGAGCCTGGGTAGTCTGGCCTTGTCACAGGCAGAGGCTGTGAGTGTGGTCACTGTGCTTAAAGAGAAGAACCCCTCTGCCCTAGACGCCTGGCAGAAGTCTGCAGCTAAGGCTGACCCCTCATCCCTGGAGAGAGAGAGGCTCCTCACCACTCTGCAGGAAGAGGCCTCCATCGCCAAGGACAAGGTCCAGCAGCTCAGCAAGGTACAGCTGCACACACTCATAAGATAACCCTAAGATACCAGTACAATAAAGCATATCCTTTGACTACATCACTGGTTGATTACCTGTGGCTTGGTGACATTTCACTCTGCTGCTGTTTCTGCCCATCCCTCTGTTAGGAGCTGCAGCAGGAGAAGCAGAAGACTGTTAGAGCGGAGGCTGTTCTGAGGGACCAGCGTGGGGCAATTGAGAAGGAGCTGAACGTCGTGCAGGCTAAAGCCCAGGGAGAGCTCCAGGGCATGCAGATGAAGGTGACCACCATCCACCACTAATACAACCTTTACCTTAACAGGCCAAACCTCAACTACCATCACCCTTTACTGTCATGCTTAATACTCAGACATCAGTCCTAAGGCAGTATACAGAGTAGTGTTTCCGATGCTGTATGTTAGGTGGTATTGACTCCCAGTGTTGTGTACTGTGTAGTTCCAGAAGCTGAGGGAGCAGCTGGAGGGTCAGATCGCCAGGCTGCAGCAGGAGAACGCCATCCTGAGAGACGCAGTCAGCTCTGCCACCAACCAGATGGAGAACAAGTGAGAGCCACTTCCCAGCCCTCCTAGTTTGTAAAAATGTTAAGGTCTTTGTTGTCCCCCACGTTCGTACGTTAGTCACACACGATACCTCAGACAGCACTGGCCCGATTTTGACGAAATTTGGGTGAGCGATGCGTCTTGCCATAGAGATCCGGCATTTACAAAATTATACTGATTGGTCAGATGGTGGCACTATATGCAATAAAAAATAAAACAACTGGAAAGATTTTCTGTTCAAAAATTCCAAATGACATCCGTTTGACTGGTTTGTAAGGAAATAGAAAGCTGTGAAAACGACCCAACATGTTTCTGATGAGATTTCAATTTGGCTTGGATGCATATTTTTGTGGTTGAAATACCGTCAGCATTTATGATGCTGATAAAGATAGCACCTCTACAGACGGTATCTAACTGCGCATTCGCATTCTCTCAAGATGCTGAAATAAATAAATCATATTTCTCTGCTCCTGTTCCCAAGTCCAAATGTTGCCTACATTTGGTATCATTTTACTCCAAGAAATGCTTCATTCTGCAGCAGTAAATATTAAGGCTGTGAGAGAGGTTATAGACCTACAGTGTGTCCAGATTTAACGCATGTTTTTTGTATTTTTTTGTTAGTATTTTACCCCCTTTTTCTCCCCAATTTCGATCTTGTCTCATCGCTGCAACTCCCCAACGTGCTCGGGAGAGGTGAAGGTGGAGTCATGCGTCCCGCCTAACCGCGCTCCTTAACAGCCACCAGCCAGCCACACCAATCTGTCGGAGGAAACAGTTTAACTGGCAACCGGGGTCAGCCTGCAGGCACCCGGCCCACCACAAGGAGTCGCTAGAACGCGATTAGCCAAGTAAAGCCCCCCTGGCCAAACCCTCCCCTAACCCGTACGATGCTGGGCCAATTGTGCGCCGTCCTATGGGACTCCTGGCCACGGCCGGTTGTGGCACAGCCCAGGAATGAACCCGGGTCTGTAGTAACGCCTCTAGCACTGCTATGCAGTGCCTTAGACCGCTGCGCCACTCGGGAGGCCCCATTTAACCCATCTTAACAGTAGGATACAGTTCCTTTGACGTGCCATAGGCCTATTTGAAGTCCCCGTCTTGTGACTGTCGAATTTGTATAGCGCCTCACAATCATCACACATAACATAGCCAGACACCACTGGCCCCATTTTGACGAAACTTGGGTGAATGATGCGTTTTGTCATAGAGATCCTTAATTTACAAAATGACACTGATTAGGGGATGACATGTTTACTGTTGCCTTGTTTGGTATTGTATCGCATCGTAGGAATACTAGTTGTCTTTGAGGCATGGCATTGATGAGTGTGTGGGTTGTAATAGTCGGTGTGGTGTGTATGGCAGGCAGTCATCGGAGCTGAACCAGCTGCGCTCGGAGTACTCTGGTCTGATGAAAGAGCTGGCGGAGAACAACAACAAGCTGCAGCAGGAGGAGCACCAGAGGAAGTCCCTGGAGGTCAACTACAAGCAGAACGTGTCTCAGCTAGAGGTATGCTGTCTGTCAGGGGAGGGGCCCGTGCCTAACACAGGCATCTTATTTAGTTATTTATTCAGCTCATAGTTCACTAGGCTGCCCCACAGAGATGAAACACAAAGGAATCTCTCCTTCATGGTGAGGACTGGACTGTTTAGGGTTTCTCACTGTAACCGTGGGAGGGCCTGTGTCTGTCCATCCTAAGGAGGGCTGGGTGGGCCTGTTTCTGTCCATCCTAAGGAGGGCTGGGTGGTGTGTAATAGAACAAGGAAGTGGAGAATTTGTTGGCTCAGGAAGTTAGGGCTGTTTGAAGCTTTGTGCTCAGTATAAACACTGCTTCCCTGCAACGCACACCCAGGTTGGCCTTTCTTGTGTTTGTCATCACCATAAGCACAGTACAGTACAGTGAGAGGTTGTCAGTGTATGTACACTGTTAAAATGCTAAATGTCATGGTGTCCCGTGGTCACCAGGCTCAACTGCAGGACGCTAAGCGCGGCTGGGAGGAGCTCCAGAACTACCTCCACAATGTCAACGCAGAGAGGGAGAAACTTCATGCTGCTAAAGAAGGTGATCACAGAGATTCTATAAACAGACCTCTGAAACTCAAGCTAATGCACCTCCCATTGCTAATAAGTATTAAGAATATTTGCAAGCCAATTTTGAGCACCATTCTCATGAGCACCACATGTATAAGTGGCTTGTGTTTTATACCCAGTAAGTTATTTTATCTGGTGTGCCTCTCCTCTCTCAGAGCTGCAGAGCCAGTTGCTGGCGGTGGAGACAGAGATGAGCAACAAGAATAAGGAGATCCAGACGCTGCACAGCAGCCTGACCGACACCATCGTGTCCAAGGACCAGGTGGAGCAAAAGGTGATGCAGCTGCTGGAGGTGTCCCAGCACAGCCTTGCTGAAGACTCAGTGCAGGTCCAGGTAGGGGAACACAGCCCTTATTGTTGTAATGACAGATGTGATGTGTATAACAATAACACGTTCCCTAGTGTGTGCATTCACCAATGATTTACAGTTGACAGTTATACTTGGATGTTGTGGTTATTGTGCCAGGTGTGGACAGGTCGTCTTTACACTCGCAAACCTTTCAGAAACAAGGGAGAGGGGTAGTTAAAAAGGGTGAAACGGCTTGGATGAGAAACTGGGGGATAAAACAATAGGCTTCTTTTTAAGTATTTCTGTAATATTTATATTTTTTGCACAAAGATATTCTGGTATGCACTGAAAATAACCTCCTTTGTTCCTAACAGGATCTCCTGAGTGAAAAATGTGGCCTTAAGGCCCAGATTGAGACTCTGCAGGCCCAGTTGAGCTCCCAGGTATGGACGAGCATGTTTCACCCTTTAGTTCATCAACAAGAGTCGATATGTTTCTATTTGTATACCGGTATGTGAGTGTGTTGTGACTACTGTCTTCCCTCCTCTTTCAGGCCACTACTGTCTCCCACTTTGAGGAGCTGCAGAAGCTGTAAGTGTTTTACAAGTCGAAATGAATGCCCACCCCACTTGCACATGTGCTTAGCCTGATCTTTGAATGTCCATTTGTTCCATATAATGTCCTCTCTGACTCTTCTCGCTGTCCTATGGGTTGTGTTGCTGACTCCGGTCATGTGTGGTTGTGTCCAGGCTGGCTGAGAAGGAGCTGCAGAGGAAAAGTCTGGAGGACTCCCTGAATACTGAGAGGAGCAGTGGCGCCATCAGGGAAAATAACATGCAGGTACCTACAGTAAAACTCTATAATACTGTCTAAACCCCCATTTATTACACCAGCTCTGTATATTATGGTCTGTTAACTGGCTGGAATGTGTTGAGCTGTAGGAATGCTGCACACAGTACGGTGGTTTGATTTGAAGGGCTTACTGTACATACAATTTCTGTCTTCGTGAAGCATATTAGCTAATAGTTATAAAACAGAAATATGACAATCCCTCTGGGCCCCTTTTGTCCATTTATCAAAGTGAATTAGATGGAAATATTTGTATTAGTATAAAGATATTATCAAACTACTGTAGACCTACATACATACTGTCAACTTAATAGTAAGATATCTCCTTCATATGATATTAATGTTGTTGACTGGGCCTCCTGCCCTCACCCTCATTTATCTTTTTCTTCTCTCTCCACAGGCCATGCACAATGAGAACATGGCACTGAAGGCAGATCTCCAGAATCAGATTTCTGAACAGGTCAGAAGTGAAAAACGCCTGTTTTCTTAGATGGAACTCCTGCTGTGATCTACCAGTCCCTCAGTATGCACACCCTCTGACAACCTCTCTCTCTCGCTCTCCTTCTCTCCTCTAGACTGTTTCTCAGCTGGCCTTGGACCAGTTCCAGAAGAGGTGTGTGCATTTTAAAGCAGTTTAGATCCTGCCAGGGAGTTGACTGTTCTGCTTCCCATTGTATCTAGTTACATAAAATGTGCACTAATATGATCCTTAGTGGTGGGTAGTTTTACAAGTAGATGAACTGTCGTCTTCTTGCCTCTATTTAGAAACGTGGTTTTAAGACCACACCAGAAAACAATGCTATAATTCACGTTGACCCTGTCTCACCATGTGTCTCTGTGTTTGTGTTGTGCCCCCCGTAGTGTTCAAGAGCGGGAGGAGAAAATCAAGACTGTGGAGGACCTACTGAAGATGGGAATGATTGAGGTGGCCAATAAGGAGGAGGAATTGAAGGTGAGTAGGGGTCAAGGGTCGGGAATGAGCTTGACCCGCCTGACATCACAGTGGTGATCATTGTGTAGACAAATATTGTTCAAGTGTTGTTTAAAATCAAATTGCTTTGTCTGTCTGTCAGACTGTAAGAGAAGAGAAGAATGCTCTGAAACGAGAGATGGAGGCTTTAATGCTTCAGACTACTGAACAGGTAAGTACCCACACTGATCTGCTGTGTTTTTATTTTGGAGAGTCTCGACCCCGTTCCCTCATTGGATTCTCACTTCATTTTTTCCTCTTGTCTTTTCCTACACAGACATCATCTGATTTGATAGTGGAAGGTCTACAGAGCAAGTAAGTCAATAAAAATACCACTTTTTGTCTAGCAACTGCTATGAAACATCTTGCCACATTCATGGATAATTTGTTCTGTGTTCAATAAGTTTTGTCATTCTGTGTTTAAAGGATCCAAGAGAAAGATGAGCAGATTAAGTCAATGGAGGAGAGCCTACAGGCAGCACAGGCGAGTGGCTCCAGCAATGGGATGACCATTGAGGTGTGTTTTCATAGTTCTACTTCTTTTACTCTCTCTCTCTCTCAGCTGTATGTCAGAAACATCATATGGCAATGTACTCTGCATTTTGATTCATGTGATTTTGTAATGCCAGACTTGTAACAAATGTGAAATGAAAATGTTTTCACGTTTTAAACATTGTATATAGTGTGTTTTGACTTTGCCCAATGTTACAGTTTTGATTCTGGATTGTACTGTGCTGTGTCTCCCTGCTGGGTGTTGATGTGACTGTGTGTGTGTTGTCCCTGCAGTCTCTGGAGCAGCAGGTGGCGGGGCTGCAGGCTGACATGGAGCAGCTGAGACAGAAGCAGGCTGAGGACACCACCAGTGCCAGAGACCAGCTCCTAGAACTACAGACACAGTAAGTCTACTGGACTATCCCTCCACTCTGACCTACTCTACTGCATTGTACTCTGAGATGTTAGACTAACACACAGTCTTTGTCCAGGCTTGCTGCGAAGGACCAGGAGATCCAGACACTACAGAGTGAGTTGGAGACAAGGGCCAAGGAGGTGAGCGACAAGGTGCAGGAACTACAGCAGAGACAGGTGAGGGAAGAGGTGGAAACAGTTTATTGGTGACCTTTATTGGCTGAATGGGAGAGTGAGAGAAAAGTTAACAACTTTTTTCTTCTTCTAGCAGACCCACACAGAGGCACCAAGCCCAGAACTGCTGACAGCGTGAGTCACTGCAATACTTCACAGAATTCCCTTCAATATACAGTAGGTGTCCCTTGGCATGGGGCCACCCAGCAGTGTTGTGATTGGTAGTGGTGGTAATGTATGTGTGGTGGTGTTCTGTCCTCCAGGTTGGCAGAGAAGGAGAAGCAGGTGTCTGATCTCCAGGGAGAGCTGGCTAAGCTGAGGGAGTCCCTGGAGCTTCACAGGAATAAGAACAACGTAGGTGTCCTGTCCTGCAGACAGTGCTGCTACTGCCTCAGCCCACACTACCAGTGTACCCTCCACATCTCCAGTCTAGCCCTGCGATACATCTGCAGACCTCATCCTTGATGTGCTTCCCTAAACCACACCTCTCTGTGATGTCACACTACCCATGCATAATCTCCCTCTATTCCTTTTACAAAGTGGTTAGGTTGCATTTTGTTGCAGACTAGGAATATTTATTAATCTACTTTAAACTATTCAAGCCAATTATACATTTACATTTTAGAGCAGTTAATTTGCTATTCTATGCTTATGCTGGCTAAGGCTTGCTACAATCAAACAGTACAGTTTTTTAGGGCAGTCAGTATACTCTGCTCTGTCCTTCGCCATGTTTACAAGGACTGACTATTTCTGTGTGTCAGCATGCATGTCTGTGCGTGTGAATGCTCCGCTTAACAACGGCCTTGTTTTGCAGAGACAGACAGCTACCTGGTTTTGCAGAGACAGACAGCTACCTTGTTTTGCAGAGACAGACAGCTACCTTGTTTTGCAGAGACAGACAGCTACCTTGTTTTGCAGAGACAGACAGCTACCTTGTTTTGCAGAGACAGACAGCTACCTTGTTTTGCAGAGACAGACAGCTACCTGGTTTTGCAGAGACAGACAGCTACCTGGTTTTGCAGAGACAGACAGCTACCTGGTTTTGCAGAGACAGACAGCTACCTTGTTTTGCAGAGACAGACAGCTACCTGGTTTTGCAGAGACAGACAGCTACCTTGTTTTGCAGAGACCGACAGCTACCTTGTTTTGCAGAGACAGACAGCTACCTGGTTTTGCAGAGACAGACAGCTACCTGGTTTTGCAGAGACAGACAGCTACCTTGTTGACTAGCTCTATATTATGTGATTTGGCGTTTCCTATCTAGACACATTGGACTTTTTTGACAGTGAGTTGCAGCTCTCATTCTTCACGTTATTTCAGTTTGTCTATGCCAAAGACCTCTACTGTGTTCCTATCAGAGCTGTTTCACTGTTTGTTTTTGACAATACAGTTTAGTATCTGATCCTTCTAAAGACTCGATCATTAGATGGCCAACTCATGTTAAGTTGAGCTTGACCCTTCGACTGGTTTACAGGTAAAATGCAGTGAGGATTTTCTTTAAACCTAGACTCCGAAACAGGATAGGACAGGACAGCCGTGCAGAAAAGGAGAGTAAACATTTTTTGCTAATGGTTCTCTGTTCATCCCTATATAAAGTGTGTTTGTGGGTCACTGCATACTTTTCCCTGAGGCTGAACTGAAAGTGATATCTCTCTGAAACTGACCAGGAGCTTCGGGTGAAAAACTGGAGCGCTATGGAGGCTCTGGCAGCCACCGAGTCCATGCTTCAGGGGAAACTCAGCAAGGCCCTCAAGGTTCGGACCCCACTTCCAGTCTGCTTCACTCTAGATTGAAAATCTGATGCATCCCCAAACAGCTATTGCCATAATCGACCAGTGAGATTACTCCATCATTCATACATGCTGCTGCATACTCATTTCTCCTCTCCCTCTGCATTCTGGCCCTGAATAATTGGCAGTCTGTCTCCATTAAGCTATTCCCCTCAGGAATTTCGCAAAGACTAATGTATTTTTATGTAGAATTTTAACACTGCTCTTCTTGAGTTCTGCTTGCTATTCCGCGCTAGAATGTATTGACCTCTTAAAGGACACAATCTTCAGCCTCCTGAGTGGCGCAGCGGTCTAAGGCACTGCATCGCAGTGCTTGAGGCGTCGCTACAGACCCGGGTTCGATCCCAGGCTGTGTCACAGCCGGCTGTGACTGGGAGACCATGAGGCGGCGCACAATTGGCCCAGCGTCGTCCGGGTTAGGGGAGGGTTTGGCCGGCCGGGATTTCCTTGTCCCATCGCGCTCTAGCGACTCCTTGTGGCGGGCAGGGCGACTGCATGCTGACTTTGGTCGCCAGCGGGACAGTGTTTCCTCTGACACATTGGTGCGGCTGGCTTCCGGGTTAAGCGAGCAGTGTGTCAAGAAGCAGTGCGGCTTGGCGGGGTCGTGTTTCGGAGGACGCATGGCTCTCGAACCTTTGCCTGTCCCGAGTCCGTAGGGGAGTTGCAGCAATGGGACAAGACTATAACTACCAATTTGGATATCACGAAATTGGGGGGGAAATGTAAAAACTAAAAAAGGACACATTCTTCTTGTCTTATACAATACAACTATTTATTTTAACTACATCAATTCCAATATATAGTAAAGAAACTGACATTTGAAAATGAGTATGCAGTGACTGACTCCAGATTTCATGTAGATGGTCATAATAAGTTTGAGATCCATGGTCTTCACGATGCTCCTCTCTCTCCCTGCCATGTGCTTTCCTCATTTTCTCTCCCCAATCCAGCATGTGTTCCATTCTGCTTTGTGTATATACTGTCATCATTACAGCCATCAGCCTCTAATGAAATTCTATTCTAAGATTTTCTAAATCAATTTGATCTTGCAGAATAGCCTTTTGAAAAATAATGTCCAGAATATGTGTAATTAGTCAACATAATTGTTTTGTGTAAAATAATTGTTGGAAGCAACAAAACACGTACTGAATATCAGTGATTTATTATAGAACTATGGTGGTACTGTACTCTGTGTGGATATGTCTATCATGTTATTGCATCGAACCATTAGAAACCAGACAGCCCCTCAGCTTAGCTGCTGTTTTATATCCACCCAGTTGTTTCCTAAGGATTTTTTTGTCTTCTTACATTTTTGACTTACAGGAGCGATTGGGGTTAAGTGTCTTGCTCAAGGGCACATCAGCAGATTTTTTCCACATAGTCGGCTCGGGGATTTGAACCAGTGACCTTCCGGTAGCTGGCCCAGTGCTCTTAACCGCTAGGCTACCTGCCGCCCCTCTTCAGTGAGAATCTGATCTGCCATGGCCCTTTGCTTAGCCATATGTATTTAGGGATGCACTAGTAAACCATAGACTAACACATTGCTCTCCTACTATAAACAGTTGTGGGGGGTTCAGTGTATTTTTTCCTTAGCTCAAACCGCCGGTGACCCCCGTTCCTCTCCATGTCAATACAGCAGACAGGGTACATAGTGAACTGATTTACCCAGCAGCTGCTCTCAGCCATTTTGGTACAGTAAAAATGACCTTATTTAAGCTGAGTGGCTGAGTGTAAGAGTTTCTGGACACCTGTTGTGTACGCTCAGGAAAGTGCATGCTTGTACACATTCTAAAGCATATGTCGTAGTGTAGAGCATATTCTGATCACAACACAAGGTGTTAATGAGAGTAGAGGTGAATGTGCCAGCTGTCTGTTACAGGACTCACTCCATCGGAGGGTAAAGGGGTTATACAGGACATCGCTCTCCTTCTGGGAGTTTCAAGCCTTGTGCAGCTAATGTGCTTAACGGTACCAACATTGTGGTTTTTGTTATCCGAGTGGCGCAGTGGTCTAAGGCACTGCATCGCAGTGCTAGCTGTGCCACTAGAGATCCTGGTTCGAGTCCAGGCTCTGTCGCAGCCGGCCGCGACCGGGAGATCCATGGGCGGCGCACAATTGGTCCAGCGTTGTCCAGGGTAGGGGAGGGTTTGGCCGGCAGGGATGTGGGTTCGTTTCCCACGGGGGGCCAGTATTAGGGAAAAAAATAAATAAAATAAATACCATGTATGCATTCACTAACTGTAAGTCGCTCTGGATAACAGCATCTGCTAAATGACTAAAATGTAAATGTAAGTATGTGTGGTGATCTATGGATGTCTGTCTCTGGGCAGAATGTTAGCTTCTCATGGGCATTACTGTGCTGCAACTATATGAACACAAGTGACTGATGTTCCTCCTTGAGAGGATAAAAAATATTAAATAAGTGAACCTGTGTAGGGTGTGGTCTAAAGCTTGAGGAACTTGTCTCGTGGTTGTGGATGTGTGTCTGCTGAACAGTGGGGCGTATGAATACTTGCTTGGAGCGCACACTAAATAATTGAGCCATTGTAAATGTTAGCTGTTTGTTCACTGGAATGTCATGGCGAGGGAGTTGTGCTTGTCAGAGGCCATGCTCCTGTATGCGCTCTGAGATGAGACGAGTGAAACCAAGCAACCAGAGGTAGTGTCCTGAGGCTATTTAGCTAACTACTGTACCGGTTCCCCAAATGTGTGTGTGAGCCCTGAGTGCAGTCCATGTTGAATGTCCTCTTCTCTTTCCTCCTCTTCAGGAGAACCAGACGGCCCTGGAGATAGCCCAGGCAGAGTGTCGAGATGTTCTGCACAGACTGCTACCGAACGTGCCTCTGCCCACTGAACAGGTAAGGGCTCCCATAATATAATAATATGCCATTTAGCAGACGCTTTTATCCAAAGCGACTTAGTCATGTGCGCATACATTTTTACGTATGGGTGGTCCCGGGGATCAAACCCACTACCCTGGCGTTACAAGCGCCATTCTCTACCAATTGAGCTACAGAGGATCTATGATATTTATATATATATATATATATATATATATATACACACACACACACACACACACACACACACACACACACACACACACACACACACACACACACAGTGGGGAGAACAAGTATTTGATACACTGCCGATTTTGCAGGTTTTCCTACTTACAAAGCATGTAGAGGTCTGTAATTTTTTATCATAGGTACACTTCAACTGTGAGAGACGGAATCTAAAACAAAAATCCAGAAAATCACATTGTATGATTTTTAAGTAATTAATTTGCATTTTATTGCATGACATAAGTATTTGATACATCAGAAAAGCAGAACTTAATATTTGGTACAGAAACCTTTGTTTGCAATTACAGAGATCATACGTTTCCTGTAGGTCTTGACCAGGTTTGCACACACTGCAGCAGGGATTTTGGCCCACTCCTCCATACAGACCTTCTCCAGATCCTTCAGGTTTCGGGGCTGTTGCTGGGCAATTTGGACTTTCAGCTCCCTCCAAAGATTTTCTATTGGGTTCAGGTCTGGAGACTGGCTAGGCCACTCCAGGACCTTGAGATGCTTCTTACGGAGCCACTCCTTAGTTGCCCTGGCTGTGTGTTTCGGGTCGTTGTCATGCTGGAAGACCCAGCCACGACCCATCTTCAATGCTCTTACTGAGGGAAGGAGGTTGTTGGCCAAGATCTCGCGATACATGGCCCCATCCATCCTCCCTTCAATACGGTGCAGTCGTCCTGTCCCCTTTGCAGAAAAGCATCCCCAAAGAATGATGTTTCCACCTCCATGCTTCACGGTTGGGATGGTGTTCTTGGGGTTGTACTCATCCTTCTTCTTCCTCCAAACACGGCGAGTGGAGTTTAGACCAAAAAGCTCTATTTTTGTCTCATCAGACCACATGACCTTCTCCCATTCCTCCTCTGGATCATCCAGATGGTCATTGGCAAACTTCAGACGGGACATGCGCTGGCTTGAGCAGGGGGACCTTGCGTGCGCTGCAGGATTTTTAATCCATGACGGCGTAGTGTGTTACTAATGGTTTTCTTTGAGACTGTGGTCCCAGCTCTCTTCAGGTCATTGACCAGGTCCTGCCGTGTAGTTCTGGGCTGATCCCTCACCTTCCTCATGATCATTGATGCCCCACGAGGTGAGATCTTGCATGGAGCCCCAGACCGAGGGTGATTGACCGTCATCTTGAACTTCTTCCATTTTCTAATAATTGCGCCAACAGTTGTTGCCTTCTCACCAAGCTGCTTGCCTAGTGTCCTGTAGCCCATCCCAGCCTTGTGCAGGTCTACAATTTTATCCCTGATGTCCTTACACAGCTCTCTGGTCTTGGCCATTGTGGAGAGGTTGTGGAGAGGTGTCTTTTATACAGGTAACGAGGTCAAACAGGTGCAGTTAATACAGGTAATGAGTGGAGAACAGGAGGGCTTCTTAAAGAAAAACTAACAGGTCTGTGAGAGCTGGAATTCTTACTGGTTGGTAGGTGATCAAATACTTATGTCATGCAATAAAATGCAAATGAATTACTTAAAAATCATACAATGTGTTTTTCTGGATTTTTGTTTTAGATTCCGTCTCTCACAGTTGAAGTGTACCTATGATAAAAATTACATCTACATGCTTTGTAAGTAGGAAACCCTGCAAAATCGGCAGTGTATCAAATACTTGTTCTCCCCACTGTATATGTATATATATGTATATGTATATGCAATTCAGCAGACGCTTTTATCTAAATCGACTTAGTCATACTTGCATAAATTGTACGTATATGGGTGGTCTCTGAAATTGAACCGACTATACAGCCATTGCAAGCGCCATGCTCTACCAACTGAGCTACAGAGGACCACATGATGTGATATTCAATTATAAGTTAATATTTTCATGTCCTATAGTTTTCTATCTTCACTACCGTCTTCTCTCTCAGAACCACCGGGAGTGGCTGCAGAGGTTTGAGACTGCAGTGAGAGAGGCCGCAGCAGCAGAGCCCAACCCTGCCCCTGAAGCAGCACCTGAACCAGCTCCAGAGGGCTCCGAGGACACCAAGGTGACGTCACAGCCTTTACGGTTTCTTAAAAAATAGTTGTATGTTTTCAAATGTCTGAGAACTGAGGTGGAAAGAAGTGTAACCAGTGCTGTTCCTTTCACCAGGTATTGGCTGAAAAGCTGAAGGAATCTGAAGAGGCCCAGAAGGTTCTACAGAAAGATTGTGAGACGTACAAGAAAGTGTTGGCTGAGACGGTGAGGAGATGCTCTCTGTCAGTGTCCTGTAGATAATGCTATAAAGGCCTCAGTTTTTGTTTTTACACTGCTGCTACTCGCTGTTTATTATCTATGCATAGTCACATGACACATTACCTCGACTAACCTGTCGATAACATTGACTCGGTACCGGTACCCCCTGTATATAGCATTGTTATTGTTAATGTCATTTTCTTGTTACTTTTTTATTATTTTTTCTTTTTTACTTTAGTTTATTTAGTAAATATTTTCTTAACTCTATTTCTTGAACTGCATTGTTGGTTAAGGGCTTGTAAGTAAGCATTTCACAGTAATGGAATTCCGCGCAAGTGACAAATACAATTATTTTATTTGATTGTGCCTTTTAAACTAACCTGTAATACCCTTTACTGTCCACAGGAGGGCATCCTTCAGCGTCTCCAGAGCAGTGTGGAGAAGGAGGAGTCTCGCTGGAAGGTGAAGCTGGATCTGTCACAGACAGAGCTGAAAGAGGTGAACACTGAAGACCATTCAATCAAACTCAATTTGTATTTATATTGTCCTTTTAACCACAATATAATTGGTATGTGTGGTGCTTATGGTCACTCTCCTGCCCTCTCTTTCCTAGATGAGCGAGAAAGTTGCAGCACTGGAGCAGGAGGTAGACAGACTGAGCGACAGCGGGGAGTTGGACAACGTCAGTCCTTCAGTTACACACTTAACACATCTCTCAGCAATTGTATTAGTCACTTTACATCAGTTGACTCATTAAATGTAAGTGATTTTCATAGGTCAAAATTCCTTGTTTTGTTCTTCCATAGTTGATAAAAGACAAGCAGCACCTTGAGTCTGAGCTGGAGAAAGCAGAGCGTGAGAGCGCCACCTATGTGACAGAGGTCAGAGAGGTGAGCTGACTATACTTCCTGTCATCTACCAGTCATACTCAGTCATGTCATAGTGATTATCCATCTATGTAGTCATTCCCCTCTGCATTGTTTGTGGGTGGCAGTGTACTGTATGTTTATGGTGCATGTCTCTGTGTTTACTGTTTGTGGTATCCACCATTGTGTTTGTACATGCAACAATTGCACATTACATTCATAGTTCATACACCACACAGTTCATTCTGGTATGTTCTGTTATAGAATTTGGTTGAAATGGTTACACACTTTACACAATAACTTACAGAACTTGTATTTCTCACACTAACAAATCAGACTGAGTCTGCCCTGTTGTTGTTAAAACATTGGAGTCACTGCAGTTACACAGAACAAAAACATTGTCATTCATATCACCACATAATTCCTCCATTGATTGAGAATGTGTTTTATGTAGATGCTTGTAGAGCATTGATTAAAGGTAGAAAAACCAACCAAACAGCTTGATGCTATAGGCTAGTACACTCTCGCCCTAGCAGCCGATCGACCACCCCGTTCCCCTGCTTCAACTGTGTAGCGTTCTTTCCACTGGCTCCCCGGATCCCACAGCTACCCGTTAAAAACATCTCACACTTCATTTCAGCTCAAAGATCTGTTGACTGAACTGCAGAGCAAACTTGATGGCTCTTATAAAGAAGCAGTCAGGCAGAATGAGGAGCTGAATTTGGTAAGCCTTGCTCACCCATATAGGCAGAGCTTCCATAACCTGTCCCTCCTCCCTACTGCACCACCCAACGTTATCTCTGGGGTCACCACCTGCCTAGAGAATACAGGGTCCTCCGAGTCCTCTGGGAGTCAGTACATCTATCTACAACCTATGGATACAGTAGTGATATAAGCTCAAATGCAACATTGGCTAAACTGTTTTTATATACAAGATGCATGCATAAGGTGTGTTTTCTTTGCTTTTTAGGAGCCAGTTATATTCTTAGTGTAACGTTAGACTGGAGTATTAGTATCATAGGTTATAGATGATGGACCACCCTTACTCTGTGATAGGACAGACTAACAATCAATCATCAAATGTCATAAAGTGCTATACAGAAACCCAGCCTAAAACCCCAAACAGCAAGCAATGCAGATGTAGAAGCATGGTGGCTACGAAAATCTCCCTAGAAAGGCAGAAACCTAGAGAGCAACCAGGCTCTGAGGGGTGGCCAGTCCCCTTTTGGCTGTGCCTTGTGGAGATTATAACAGTACATGGCCATTAAGGCCAGATTTTTCTCCAAGATCTTCAAACGTTCATAGATGTCCAACAGGGTCAAATAATAATCACAGTGGTTTTAGAGGTTGCAACAGGTCAGTACATCAGGAGTAAATGTCACTTGGCTTTTCATAGCCGGGCATTTAGAGGTTGAAATAGCAGGTGCAGTAGAGGGAGAGAGTTGAAAACTAACACACACTACTGTTTCCACTCTGTACATGATCTACTATGCCATCACTACTACTAACAGGCTTATAGTGGCTTACTGCTACTCCTGCACAATAAGCTTTTCCATGTCAGCCATCTTTGGGGATACATTATATGCTTTCAACTGCACACACACTTTCATCGCTTAATCATTCTTCTGCCTCCACACACAGTTGGAACATTTTCAATGTCTGTCTCGTTGTCTTGTCTGTCTCGTCTTGCCTCCCTCTGTCTGTGAACATCTTCAAGGATAACTAAAACATCTCTGCTGGTTTTTCATTGATAATACAACATTTAATATCTTTATCAGTCTCTAGCTAATCATTAAATAGCTAGTTTAGTAGAGACATAACTGACATCAGTTGCCATAAGTAGCTATTTATACATGTCTCAACCACTCTAAAAGCCAAGTGAAACCACTGTTGGTGTATGCAAAACAGAGATGTTGTCATTTGTCTTGGTATAAATATTTGAATACCACCTCAGTTATGCAAATTCCCCCCTCCAAACAGTTTGAGATCAGATTTCACCAGGAGTGGGGCTGTCATTGTCATGTGTTAATTGTCTCATCTCTGGTGTTTGGTTGCAGCTGAAGACCCAGCTGACTGAGACTCTGTCCAAACTGGAGACCGAGGAGTGTGAGAGGCAGAAGGTGGCTGGAGATCTCTATAAGGTAAGACGGCCCCTTGTCTCTCAGGATTGGACTACCTTTAGTTTGTTTGGATTTACATTGCTGTTAGAGAAACAATTAGTCACCAGTCCAAGTCTAGAAAGAAACAACTTACTCTAGGAGCTAGGGATGTTAACGGTTAGCCGCCGAAAATACATTTCACCAGTCATGCTTATCGGTCTAATTTGCATAATTGTGTGGTATTAAATTGGCGAGTGTGTATTTTCGTTAGTCGTCATGCATCTTATTTATCACACGTGCACAGCATACCAAGCCTAGTTTGAGGAGCGCTCAAAAAGTCTGTAGGCTACCGAAATGAAACCTGCGTTTGTAAGCCCAGTCATTGTGCAACAAATAACAATTCTGGCCACGATTAAAAGGAGCTATTTTTATTTCTCAATCTCAACTCGTAATTAAAGCGCGCCTCCAATTCGCCGTTCGGATGCATAGGCTATAGCCTGCCTACTGTTGACTATCAACGCGTCACCCACCACTTTGCAATGTGAGTTTGAGGCAGTATAATTGTTTGAAACCTGAATGTTTTAGTTTACTTCAAATAATGAGGCATGTCTTACCTTGCTTCAAAGTAGCCTTGCGAAAATCCATCTGTAGAAACGTAGATGCAATTATTTTATAAAGACTTCCTCATGCCATTAACTGGCATTTCTCTCCTGTTCTATTGGTTTTCATAACTTTATTTCGTTGTCCAGAAGCCAAAGGCACAATCCTAGTCATATTAGCAACCCATCATAGTTGTTGCTATTAGATTCCCCCTCTTTCTAAGTTTCTAACTGAGATTTAAATCAGTCACAACTGCTCGTATTAGGATAGAGCTGTGTTTTCCGCTAATTGCATTTTGGCCAATGTTTGAAAATGATGTTTTATTAGCTGCTTCATTACAGCAGTTGCATGTTCAATAATAGGCTATAGCCTTTTGAACTGTAAGATGATAGGCTTGCTATTGTTGCATGTTTCCATTAAGGTCTTAATGAAAAATGTCCTGTGCATGCATAGTATCAGAGAGGAAGAGGCAAAGCGAGAGTGAAATCCGTCCAAAATAAAAAGTTTCTATGGGCTTATTTTGGGCCTAAGCTTGTCGCCTGTCTTCCTGCCTTGGGCCAACTCTCATTGTTAGGGTGGAAACATACGCATCTCATCATTATATACAGATCTCTAATAGTATTTTCTGTTGGTCACGTAATTTTACTGTTTGGAATTATTTTGACCAAGATTTGCATCCCTACTAGGAGCTAAATACACACTGAGCATTTTAATATGTGGATGTGTTGAACACACTTATATTACCTGAAATGTAAGCTTAAATGTTTCTTGTAATTTCCCCCACCCTGCTCCACCTCAGGCCCAGCAGTCTCTGGACCTGATCCAGGAGGAGCTCTTCAAAGAGACTGGCCAGGGTGACCTGATAGAGAACAGCAACCTCTCATCACACGTAAGACTTACTGGAGGGGGAAGGGGAACTGTTTGTGGCTGTATGTTAAAGACAGTCCGTTGCACTTATTATCTAGGTAGTGTAAATTCATGGTAAAAACAAAGGTATCTCGCTACTAGTAGTTGTAGTATTGATAGTTAGTAGATGTAGTTGTGTATTGAATCTAACCAGTCTTTAAATAGGGGTTGTTTTATTGACAAGTAGGTGTAGTTATATTAAAAGTGACTAGAGGGTAGTAACTAACCCGTCACTGTGTCCTTCAGGAGGAGATTGACAGGAAGGAGAAAAAGACGGCAGGGCTGAACCAAACTGTGAGGGAACTGCAGCAGCTGCTACAGGCCGTCAACCGGCAACTCACCAAGAGACAGGAGGCGGTACGACGTTGTATTTATTATGGATCCACAATATAAAAATACAGCCATCGAAAGAAGGCTTTAAAATATAGAAAAAAATCAATGTACAAATTGAAAAGGACATTTACTGAAGTAAATGTGTGTGCTTGCTAGTCTTGCATTATTTATGGTTGTGAAATAGTAGTAGTGGTAGTGACAGCGGTAGGAATATGGTTTTCATAGGCTATGGGTTAGTTATAGTGACCTATTTTAGGGCGGTTTGTAGGTGTGTAGTTATTATAGTGGGATATACAGTGCATTCGGAAAGTATTCAGACCCCCTTTTCCACATTTTGTTACGTTACAGCCTTATTCTAAAATTGATTAAATAAATAAAAAATCCTCATCAATCTACACACTACCCCATAATGACAAAATGAAAACAGGTTTTTAGAATTCTTTGCAAATGCATTATAAATAAAAAACAGATACCTCATTTACATAAGTATTCAGACCCTTTGCTATGAGACTCGAAATTGAGCTCAGGTGCATCCTGTTTCCATTGATCATCCTTGAGATGTTTCTACAACTTGATTGGAGTCCACCTGTGGTAAATTCAATTGGTTGGACATGATTTGGAAAGGCACACACCTGTCTATATAAGGTCCCACAGTTGACAGTGCATGTCAGAGCAAAAACCAAGCCATGAGGTCGAAGGAATTGTCCGTAGAGCTCAGAGACAGGATTGCGTCAAGGCACAGATCTGGGGAAGGGTACCAAAAAAATTCAGAGAACACAGTGGCCTCCATCATTCTTAAATGGAAGAAGCTGGCCGCCTGGCCAAACTGAGCAATCGAGGTAGAAGGGCCTTGGTCAGGGAGGTGACCAAGAACCTGATGGTCACTCTGACAGAGCTCCAGAGTTCCTCTGTGGAGATGGGAGAACCTTCCAGAAGGACAACCATCTCTGCAGCACTCCACCAATCAGGCCTTTATGGTAGAGTGGCCAGACGGAAGCCACTCCTCAGTAAAAGGCACATGACAGCCTGCTTGGAGTTTGCCAAAAGGCACCTAAAGGACTCTCAGACCATGAGAAACAAGATTATCTGGTCTGATGAAACCAAGATTGAACTCATTGGCCTGAATGGAGGAAACCAGGCACCGCTCATCACCTGGCCAATACCATCCCTACGGTGAAGCATGGTGGTGGCAACATCAAGCTGTGGGGATGTTTTTCAGCGACAGGGACTGGGAAACTAGTCGGGATCGAGGGAAATATGAACGGAGCAAAGTACAGAGAGATCCTTGATGAAAACCTGCTCCAGAGCGCTCAGGACCCCAGACTGGGGCGAAGGTTCATCTTCCATCAGGACAACGACCCTTAGCACACAGCCAAGACAACGCAGGAGTGGCTTCGGGACAAGTCTCTGAATGTCCTTGAGTGGCCCAGCCAGAGCCCGGACTTGAACCCGATCGAAGATCTCTGGAGAGACCTGAAAATAGCTGTGCAGCGACGTTCCCCATCCAACCTGACAGAGCTTAAGAGGATCTGCAGAGAGGAATGGGAGAAACTCCCCAAATACAGGTGTGCCAAGCTTGTAGCGTCATACCCAAGAAGATTTGAGGCCTGTAATCCCTGCCAAAGGTGCTTCAACAAAGTACTGAGTAAAGGGCCTGAATACTTATGTAAATATGATATTTCCATTTTTTATTTGTAATACATTTGCAAACATTTCTTGCTTTGTCTTTATGGGGTATTGCGTGTAGATTGATGAGAATTTAACAAAAAAATAATTTTAGGATAAGGCTGTAACGTGACTGTGGAAAAAGTGAAGGGGTTTGAATATTTTCCAAATGCACTGTTGTTGGCTAGTATAGTAGGCTAGAGTGAGTACCATAGCATCATAAGCCATATAATGTGTTTTTAAGCTCTCAAAATGGTTTAGTTTCAACATTCTGAAAGTTGTGGCATTGATTTCAGTTTAGAATGTTGAAGCCTGCATTCCACCGTTGAAATGAATGGAGATACAACAATCTCTATAGCTTATGAATGGTTGCAAGAAGCTGTGTTGTAGCCATCTAAGTTGAGTCAGTCTGCACATTTCCACGTTGGGTTGGTGATTGTAGCTGAAACAGATCAAGAGCAGTGGTGAATAAAATGTTTTCCTTTTGAAGTCTATGGAGCTTTTATGCAAATGTTTAACTGTTATTATTCAAATGTGCAAATAGCATGAACAGTCTTTTGACAAGCAATTTAAGTTGAGTCATTCTGTACATGTCAACGTTGGTTTGGTGTTTGTTTGCTTTAACGGTTCCAGAGCAGTAGCGGATCCAAATACTTCCCATTGAAGCCCATGGAGCTTTTAGGAACATTTTTAAAATGGTTATAGTTCAAAAAGCATAAATGGTTGAAGTCTAGGCACGGCGCAACATTTTACCATTCAAGTCTATGGCTGTTGAAATACATTGGAATTTATGCAAATTTGGATTTAGTGTCAAAAGTATAAGTAGTATACTAGTGCTAGTTGATTTGGTGTTGGTAACTTTTTTTGACAGGTTCCAGCAGAAGGAGAATAATAATAAGTGTGAACAGTTTCTTAAATTGTACTTGGTTTTCAGCAAGCACATCTGTTAAATCGGGGGTGTAACTGGCAAGCAATTCTTCCTTGTAACACTAAAGAGGTCTTGAACTGTGCTTTTTTTTGCAGGAATCGGACAAAGACTCGCCTGAAGCATAGGGAGGGGATGATGGACACTCCCAACCTTACTACAAAGACCACCCCCGACCTCCCCACCACCTCTCCTATCATGGCCTCTCCTCTCCTGTCACACTCCTCTCTTTCCCCTTCACCTGTACTGTAGGCAGCCTCTTGCTGATCCTCTGTCCCTGCCCGCCGCTTACCTCTAACCTCTGACCTCCACCTGCTCCTCCTCAGCAGGGTCAGGGAGAGAACTCGCTGGGCCCCAGAGGAGAGGGGCTCCCTCACACTACACACACACTCCGGACACCAAACTAGACCTTACTACTGCAAAGTCCCACCACATTCCATGATCCCTACAGTAGCACAGCCAGCGCTAAAGACATCCTACACATGTCAGACTGTGGCATCTCCCCCCGTTTTCCCCCTTTTTTCAATGGAAAATTTTGAATACAGATGTAGTTTTTCCTGTTAGTTTTCTTTGTCCAGAGGGTGATGAAGTGGATTCCTACTTTATTAAATGAACTTTGGGTTCTTTCCTTTTTTAAGTTAAAAAGGAAAAATGTATTGTTAAAGTAACTGTTAGGACCTGCTGACCTTACACTACAATTGTTCTCTTTGACTCCTTTGCTGAAAACTCACATACTGTAAATGTGCATTGATTCATGAATACATAGATACTGTATATGCATACTTTGGCTGAGTATTTTGGAGGGGCAAGGGCATAAGGGAGGGTCCCAGCATGTCAGACGGGTCACTAAGTAACTGTAACCATGGAGATGCATGGAGGAAGTCTGTAAGTGCAGAGCCAGTAGGAGGGGTGCTGTGACCCGGCCTCGCTGTGGGAGCAGTAGGACAGGTCTACAGAGTAGAGGTTTTAATCCTACTGTAACTACTTTAGGAAGAGGTGTCCCATATAATCTGTTATCAACACTCGCTGTATTGTTGCTAATTTCATTAACACAGAACATTTCGTTTTTGTAAAAGGTGACCGTTAATAAAAGGGATGCTTAATAAATCTGCTTGGTGTCCTGTGTTCAGTTCTGCTTCTCTTGACTGCACTTCCTTTGTCATACCACTGTGGGGCACCAATATCCCAGACTTTATCCCTCTGCTTATTTTTAAATTTTGTCCATCCTACACATACAAAATCAACCCATAAACACATCTAGAAACTACCTTGAAATGTAGTGTACTACTTTGCCTACCAGAGGCTTGAGTGAAGTATTTTATGTTGTTGCTTTCACCTATCTGATACTTTCAGACCTATGAAGAGCCATCAGTCAGTCTAGGAGTAACGGGCTGAGGCTAGGGGTTGACTTTTGGGCTGGATGATCTTGTATCTCTGCAATGTGGCATTCAATTTGATCACTACAAAGAAAAAGGAAGGCCATTCCCTCAGCTCAGGTTTTTACACTGATGACCAATGTGCTAAGGGGTGCGTGACTGACTAATAAGCAGAATAATGTTAGGCTGTCCCCTTTCAAGACAAACATCTTACTGTCATGTGGTGGGTGTAATTTTAGGAATGTGCTCTTTGTACAGTGAGGGCAAAAAGTATTTTATCCCCTGCTGATTTTGTACGTTTGCCCACTGACAAAGAAATGATCAGTCTATAATTTTAATGGTAGGTTTATTTGAACAGTGAGAGAGAATAACAACAAAAAACTCTTAAAGGGAGTGCTCCTAATCTCAGTTTGTTACCTGTATAAAAGACACCTGTCCACAGAAGCAATCAATCAATCAGATTCCAAACTCTCCACCATGGCCAAGACCAAGGAGCTCTCCAAGGATGTCAGGGACAAGATTGTAGACCTACACAAGGCTGGAATGGGCTACAAGACCATCGGCAAGCAGCTTGGTGAGAAGGTTGACAACAGTTAGTGCGATTATTCGCAAATGGAAGAAACACAAAAGACCTGTCAGTCTCCCTCGGCCTGGGGCTCCATGCAAGATCTCACCTTGTGGAGTTGCAATGATCATGAGAACGGTGAGGAATCAGCCCAGAACTACACGGGAGGATCTTGTCAATGATCTCAAGGCAGCTGGGACCATAGTCACCAAGAAAACAATTGATAACACACTAAGCCGTGAAGGACTGAAATCCTGCAGAGCCTGCAAGGTCCCCCTGCTCAAGAAAGCATATATACAGGGCCGTCTGAAGTTTGCCAATGAACATCTGAATGATTCAGAGGAGAACTGGGTGAAAGCGTTGTGGTCAGATGAGACCAAAATCGAGCTCTTTGGCATCAACTCAACTCGCCGTGTTTGGAGGAGGAGGAATGCTGCCTATGACCCCAAGAACACCATCCCCACTGTCAAACATGGAGGTGGAAACATTATGCTTTGGGGGACAACTTCACCGCATCAAAGGGACGATGGATGGGGACATGTACCGTGAAATCTTGGGTGAGAACCTCCTTCCCTCAGCCAGGGCATTGATAATGGGTCGTGGATGGGTATTCCAGCATGACAATGACCCAAAACACACGGCCAAGGCAACAAAGGAGTGGCTCAAGAAGAAGCACATTAAGGTCCTGGAGTGGCCTAGCCAGTCTCCAGACCTTAATCCCATAGAAAATCTGTGGAGGGAGCTGAAGGTTCGAGTTGCCAAACGTCAGCCTCGAAACCCTAATGACTTGGAGAAGATTTACAAAGAGGAGTGGGACAAAATCCCTCCTGAGATGTGTGCAAACCTGGTGGCCAACTACAAGAAACATCTGACCTCTGTGATTGCCAACAAGGGTTTTGCCGCCACCACAAGTACTAAGTCATGTTTTGCAGAGGGGTCAAATACTTATTTCCCTCATTAAAATGCAAATCAATTTATAACATTTTTGACATGCGTTTTTCTGGATTTTTGTTGTTGTTATTCTGTCTCTCACTGTTCAAATAAACCTACCATTAAAATTATAGACTGATCATGTCTTTGTCAGTGGGCAAACGTAAAAAATCAGCAGGGGATCAAATACTTTTTTCCCTCACTGTATGCAACCTATGGAATAAACACAGTTGCTTCACTTTCCTATGCTGCAGATCTCCAGGAATCCAGTCTCTAGATTTCTCCAGTTGGGGAAGCTACTCTGAAAATGGAAGAAGTTTAGCTATCCTTTACACTGGAAGAAGTTTAGCTACACTAAAGCTATCCTAAAGAATTAATATAGTTTACTTAACTAAAGTTACTTTGAAAAAGTAGTTAACTACATCCAAACTACTTATCATATATAAACATTATCATATCTATCATATCATTATTATCATATCATCATCATATCTAAATCTAAAATGTCATAGACTACAAATTGCAAGAACAGATCACTCTCCAATCAGATGTTAACATAATGTGTAATTTAGCCTATTAAACACAAAAAAAGTGAGCGTTAGGCACACAAAAAGTGTTTCAAGTGAGAATAAGGCAGGTCTGATGCTGAAAATGCAAGGAAAGTCTTGCCTACATCACCCATATTTTATTGGATTAAAATAATTCAAAGTTGTGTGTATTTCCAGTAGTTAGCTACACCACTACATGAAAAAAAAGTTATTAACTACTGAAAACACTACCAAGATTGGAATTTAGTTAAACTACCACCAAGCTACTGCAAAATGTAATTAAATTACTAGTTGAACTACATGTAGTTCACTACTCCCCAAAACTGAATTTCTTATACACATGCATCCATTTTAATGTGAAGCATGTCTCACTCTCTGTTTAAATTATGACTCATGCCTGTTGTTGGAATGTCCATATGAGTCTAAATGAGGACCATGTGAAGTTATGGAACTATAGCTGAAATAGTCATCTACTACAATCACATCCCACATCCCAAAAACTCTTAACAACACACACGTACACACTCTCTCTCACATTGTAAGACTTCCAGGGAACTTAACCACAGAGGAGGATGCAAGGGGAGGGGAGGGAGAAGGCAGTAAAAAGGAGCTTTGTCTTCATTACGTCATCATGGCTCATACAGTTAGTCACTATTGCGTGATTTCTTGTATTGAGTCTCTGTTCCATGCCTATTACCAAGAAATATCTGACTTTGTACACACACACTCAGGCCAGACCCACCTCAACAGAGCAGCTCCCTCTCTGCATCTGCTTCCCATCAGTGTGGTATGTGCAAGAGATCCTTTGATCCCCCCACTCTGAGTGTGTGTATGTGTACACTAAACTGTGTATGTGACTAATAAAACTGGATTTGATTTGTGTGTGTGTGTGTGCACGCGTGTGTGTGCGCTTGTGTGTGTGTTTGGTGGTGGGGGTGGAGGGGGGGGGGGGGGGGGGGGGGGGGGGGGGGGGTATATGGAAAGGGGGTCTTACACTGCTCTTTTAAACAGACAATACACTCTCTATGAAATGGAGGGACAGAGACTGTCTCACACAAAAGAGCTGTAAATAGTCATTATACCCCAGGCTGTTAAGACTAGCCTGGGGGGCAGAAAGTTGGTGTTCATAGCCCAAGTAGTTTGATCCTAATATACAGACAGACATGGTGTCACGACTTCCGCCGAGGCTGCCCCCCCTCCTGGTTCGGGCAGGCTTCAGCGTTCGTCGTCACCGGAGTACTAGCTACTGCCGATCCCATTCTCATCACTCCACTTGTCATGTCTTGTCAATCACACACACCTGGTGCTCATTCCCCTAATTAGTATGTGTATAAGTGTTCCCTCTGTTCCCCTTGTCTTTGTGAGTGATTGTTTGTTGTGAGAGCGTGTAGCTCGGTTGAGCTACTATTCACTGTGCTAATGCCAAGGTGGATGTTTTCCCTTGTAATAGTTTCGTTTGACGCTTTGGGCGTTTGATTTATGTAAACGGAATAAACTCTGGACTTTGGTATTTTACCTCCTGCGCCTGACTCCTTCATTCACACCTCGTCCCACAAGGAGGTTTATCTGTAGTAACAGTACTATTAATGGCCTGATATGCAGAACCATGAATGTAACCAACAAATGCTATGGTTTAAAGCGGGATGCAGTATTACTTACAGATAGACAGGATTAGTACATAAAAAATTACATCACAGTCCTGCCACTATAAGGTCTCAGAGCTGCCAGAACTGTTTTTGGTGATGCATTACATATGGAGTAACACTCCTTAGACTACCGTGCCCCCCCTCCACCTTTTGTTTTTGTGTTAACTGTTATTGCACTTTGAAATGTGCTATTGACAATGGAGAGTTAGGAGGAATGGAGCACTTAGCCAAGCAGAGCCTTGTGAAAACAGGACAGAGACAGCCAAGTGTTGATGAGGGTTGCAGACAGAAGTGTATTAGTGGCACATTCATCAGAAAGGTGTGACAATGACTGGACGTGAGTAAGACATTTAAGCATGTTAACCCCCGCAAGGCTGCCGGCCCAGACGGCATCCCTAGCCGCGTCTTCAGAGCATGCGCAGACCAGCTGGCTGGTGTGTTTACGGACATATTCAATCTCTCCCTATCCCAGTCTGCTGTCCCCACACGCTTCAAGATGGCCACAATTGTTCCTGTACCCAAGAAAGCAAAGGTAACTGAACTAAATGACTATCGCCCCATAGCACTCACCTCTGTCATTTTTACATTTTAGTAATTTAGCAGACGCTCTTATCCAGAGCGACTTACAGGAGCAATTAGGGTTAAGTGCCTTGCTCAAGGGCACATCGACAGATTTTTCACCTAGTCGGCTTGGGGATTAGAACCAGCGACCTTACGGTTACTGGCACAACGCTCTTAACCACTAAGCTACCTGCCGCCCCCCCTTCTGTCATCATGAAGTGCTTTGAGAGACTAGTCAAGGATCATATCACCTCTACCTTACCTGTCACCCTAGACCCACTTCAATTTGCTTACTGCCCCAATAGATACACAGACGATGCAATCGCCGTCACACTGCACACTGCCCTATCCCATCTGGACAAGAGGAATACCTATGTAAGACTGCTGTTCATTGACTATAGCTCAGCATTCAACACCATAGTACCCTCCAAGCTCATCATTAAGCTCGAGGCCCTGGATCTGAACCCAGCACTGTGCAACTGGGT